ACTATTTAGATTAAATTCTCAATAAAATAACCTATAATTATTGGTTAATCTATAATTATAGGTTATTTTATTAAGAATAATTATAGGCTAACCTATAATTATCGGAGACCGATAACTATAGCAAAGAATATAGAGGGGTTCTATAATCAGGGGGGAAGGTGGGCGCACGATGCGCCCACTTAAAGCTTGGGGGGGGGGAATTTTTACACTAAATAAAATGAATAGTTTGGGGGGGATTTAGATGAGAGAATTTTTTTCTTTTTAAGTACATAAATAAAAGAAGCAACGTAGCACTATTTCGAACAAGCTAACATGGAAGGGGGAAGTTAGCAAATTATTTTAGGGGGGGATGAATGCGCCCAAGAGCTTGGGGGGGATGGGGGACACTGTCTATAATATTCTTTGATTATTGGTCGCAGGCTAATATGCGGGGAAGCGAGGAAGTAACAAAAAGATAGTTGGAAACTATCGAGTCCCTAAAGAAGAAAAGATGAAAAAACGGCAAAACCAATTTGATTGCCTAATGATTCTTAGTTATAGTTCTACCGATCTCCTTTCAATTTTTTTCTGTTTCACCCGAAAATCAAGTATGCTTCGTTATTTACCCCAACTGGGATTCGCGGGTTTTCACAGATAATGTTTCGTTCTCGCTTAAATTTTAATATGCATGAAATTTATTTGCAGCCTCTGTCTATAGTTTTTTTTAAGTATAATTTTAAATATGATTTATTTTCCTTCTTCAGAAGAAGTTAAAAAGTTGAAGCGTCAAAACAACGAATTTTCGAAGAACCATTCTTTTTCAGAAAAGGCTATCATTAACACACACAAGATAATTTTTAAAGCAATAGTATTATAAGAATTAGAAAAATGTTTTTTCCTCCCCTTTTTTTTAAATTTAAATATCTAAATCCAAAAATCAACTCATGTATATGTGACCAATGTGCTTCGTTATTTTCACAGAATTGCAAATGCATGTAAATAATGCTTCTTTGATTTAGGGCATTTTCAGCGTGGACGGAAAAGAAAATCTTTGATGTCAAGCTTTGTGCTCTCGAAATAGTGTTCAAGCACAGTAAAATCAACTAAATCAACATAAACTACAATTCAATTCGTAATCAAATACTTTTAAAGGTAATTGTGTAAAGTAAAATGTCAACATAACATCAAGGAATTTTTTTTATACAAATTAAACTATTTTACAAAAATTATTTTTGTATTAAGTTTTATGAAAGAAAGAAAAAACATTATTTAAATTGTAAAAGTTTCATTTTCTTCAATAGTCTTTTCTATTTCGGAATGATTTGGTGGTCCAAATATATTAGCAATTGTTTCCACACTTTTTGACAATGTCAGTAAATTCTTCTTTTAAAATGTAAAAAATTCTTAAACGACTTATTTTTCAAGGAAATGAAAAAAATTCATCCCTCCCATAATTAAATTTTCCTTTTTGTACACTCCTTTCTATTTTCATTTCATTGCTGTAAGGATTTACTAATTCCATCACTAGATGGCAGCTCTGCATTAAAGTACACTCTACTAAAGGCTCTGTTAGTAGTTTAGAATTGTAAAATTAAATTTTCAAATTAATTATTAATAAGTAATTAACTAAGTTAATACATATTTCTAAATCGAGTTAAAAGTTTTATTAACTTTAAAAGTAAAAATACAATTTATTGTCCATTTTTTATATTTTATTATATTGTTATATTCGAAATCAGAACTAGTACAACTAAGCACTTAACGAAAAAAAAAATGGTGGTAAATTTTTTTAAAACGCCAATAATAAGATAAACCACAAAAATAAGGTAATCCTGAAAACCGGTTTTTCGTTGCCATCAGAAAGATAGAACCTTCACTTCCTCTTACGGGTTCCTTATATCTATGCATTAATAAAATGCATTAATAAAGCAAACGTCTCAGGAACGTTAGCTTGTAATCTTTTCTTTCTCAGAATATGAGAGTTCTCGAGAATCATATACACATTCTCCTGGTACTTCGACAGCAGACGACTACAAACAAATATACCGGTTGTGTTTTACGAAAGAGCCATTCCTTCCTATAAACTTACCTCTTTGGCGATCATCATTTGGCATATAATGGGGCGAAAAAGAGTGCCAATCTAGTAGGTAATAAAACCTAGACATAGTTGAGAGTATTGTGATTGATCATCCCCATGCCCATGAAAAGGGGGAAGCAGAGACATTCGGTGAAACACCCCTGACACGGTTTGGGGGGAAAGGATTTCTATGGGTCTTCGAAAAGTCTTCAATTTCAACCATGTCTAATCGCATCCGGACTCTAGTTTAACAATGCATGAGCAAAGTTAGGAGTAGTGCAGTGAAACTACAATTACATAGAATTTACAATATATTTTACTAAATTTTGTTACTAATTCTTAAAAATAAATAAATAAAAAGTCAACTACAAAAATTTTTATTAGGCATTTGTAAATGAATTTTTGACATTTTTTTGAAAAAAAAAAATGTGACCAGACTATTTTCCCGACGAGACTTTAAATTTTTCCCGTTGGGGGGCTGGCCATGCCCGACGGGGGTGCTCCTGCCCCCCTACTGGCGCCGCCCTTGGGTGAAAAGATCTGGATTGTTTGGCAAACAAATAATTCAATATTATTTTTTTTTAAAAATTAAAAGAAATGTGATTTAAAAAAACAACAACATATATTTATAAGCAATTTATTTGTTTTGATACTCAATATAATATATTTTTTGTTCTAAATAAATAAATAGCAAAAGGACATATTAAATAGAAGGACAGTATTTCTAATCTTTATTTTGCTGTTTTTATCCTTTTGCGTTTATTGAATTGCTGTAAAGGTATAAGAACATTTCAAATCTTTATATTAAGTTTAATTTTACGATTAAATTTGTTTTAAAATGAATTAACCCTTTGAGGGGCAGTGTTGGCAAATGCGAGCACCATTTTCTATATTTTTTTTCTCTAAACGCTCAAATGTTATTTTATTGCTAACACTAAACGGAATGCATCATTTAACTTCCATTTATACATAACAGATGGCAGCATCCAAAAAATTGAGTATTCAACTGAGAACGAAGCATAGGAAATTGACTGGCTTTAATCCGTTTAATTAAAAATTCTGAAAAAAAATATAAAATATATTTTTTTAAATGCAGTTTACGTATTATTTTTCTTCGTGCATATGATATTCTAGGTGTGCAATTGCAACCAAATAATGTGCATTTATGTACTCCATTTTATTAGTTTTTTCCAAGTGTTGTCAATTGACAACACTGCCCCCCCCCCCGAAGAGAAAGATCGAATATTGTACTGTGCATTGAAGAGTTCAGTGCCCCTCAAGGGCGAGAGGTGTTGCTTAGTGGGCAACGGAGTTCTTGTGCACTATGGCACGCACCTCCGATCTAACAATTAGTGAAGAAATAAAAAATAGGGGGTATGTTAATCTATTAAGGATGGAAATAAATTGGGTAAAAAAATTTGGGTGGAAGTCTAGCACGTAAAATCATCATGTTGAATTGTATGGCCGGTGTCACCACTAGTACAGTTCAGTTCCTTCACAACTTCATTCTAAAATTTATTGAGAATCAAAAGTATTTTTTGGGATTGATTTCAAAGGGTGGATTGGAGGTGGGGAGTGGGATAAGGGTTGACGCAGGGTGGGAAACTCACAAGGGATTGTTTTTGCCTCATTTCTTGGATTTTATTCTCTTGAAAGGGATGCTTTTATTCCTTGAGCTGGCTCCATTTATTTTACTGATTAGCTTTACTGATTCCGTTAGTTTGAAGTTTCAATTTTTATGCTTTATTAGTTAATTTTTTTACTCAAGACGATATATTTATTTTGAATGATATTAACTTTTCTTAAAATATGTCACGGAAAAAACTTGATATTCAGGAAGCTCTTCAATTATTTTATGATCTTCCATCTGATAATGAGTCAGTTGAAAAATTACCGTAACATACATATACATATAAATGTATACATATAAATACAACTATATACATATAAATGTATATAGTTGTTGTGGTATGTTTTGAAGAATTTCATTCGAAATAACTAAAACAATTTTGTGGAATAATTTACATTTTTATATTCATTTTCTGTCTCTAATTATTGGTAAGCATGCTCTTCAATACAATTAATTTTTGTCACCTTATATACATACAATTCAAATATATTCAACATAGTGATTTTCTTATTGTTTTATTGCATTAGCATTTCATATTCTTAGAATAGTGTAAATTTATATATTATTATCTTTATTTGCTATGTCTTGAACCTTTTTATCATGTAATCCTAAGTATTATTTCCTTTTATCTATAAAAATTAACATAGCAAAAAAAAAGTAATTTTTGAATATCTAGCATATTTTATTTATAATTGAACCTTTTACCATTTATTTCCATCACTTTTTATGTTTTTAATATTTAGAGTAAAAGTATTGTTTCAAACAACATCTTTAGCTCTAGTGGGGCAGTGTTGGCTATTGCCAACACCACCCCCACAAATATACAGGGGTTTGAAAATTTTTTTGAATGCATAATGTGTGTTTTTAGACCCTTATGGTAAGATAAAGACCATTTTTATGCTACACAATGATAAATTTCTTATTGTGCCCCTCAAAGGGTAAATTTGTTATAAATGTTGTAAAATTAAATTTGTTATAAAACTAATTTAATTTAAAATTAGGTTAAATTTTTTTCAATTGAGATTAGAATATTATTTTATGGTTATTATTTTTAAAATTCATTTATTAAGTATAATAATATTTTCAGTATAATATTTTTTTTTCATGAAATAAGGCTTTTTGTATTAAATATTGTTGGTCCTCAATGAAAAATGAAATCTATTATGACGATTACTAATTCTTTTTTTCCAGTTGTGCAAAATCTGTAATTTATCTCATCTTTTTCTCAATTTACTATTTTGAATTTTTATATGGTTTTTAATTCTAAAATATATCTGTTCAGCCTTCACCTTTAACAATTTTGTATTTCAGAAAGTGTATACTTAACTTATTTTCTACAAAAAAGTAACTTTAATTAATTGTTTGATTAAAATTTAATTTATGATGATAACTTAGTAGTGGAAATATATAATCCAGAAATTGTTGGAAACTTCCCTCAAAAATTCAGGAAATTTTATTTCTAAAATTGAGAGGGAGCCCTGACTAACAGAAGCTTTATTTAGAATTTATCTATTTATTTTAATTCTAATTTATCTATTTACTTTAATTCTAATTGTCTCCGATGTCTTCCACACCACCCATGGTCCCATACATACTTATTATTTTTCTAAATTAGAATCAAAAAAATTTTAAGAGAAAATTTTTGACTTTAAAAACTACTTCCTTATGCTAGAAAAATATTTAACATATTATTATTATTATTTTGTAATTATATTATAAATATTATTAAACATTTAATAATTCACATATTTTATCCAACTGCATAATAAGTTAAAACTTCTAGCTTAATTATTTACTTTAGATTTAGACCTGTCCTCTATGAAACTTCACCCAAACGAAAGTTGACCCAATAGATAATTAATGATGTGCACCTGTGGGCATGGGAGTTCTCCAAGGGAAGGGTATAGAGGGATTTTATATAGGGGACAGAATCCTTTTTTGGGGAAAAACAACCTGAAAGGGAAAATAGATTTTCCTCTTACTATCGCTTAACCATATATTCAATCGACGACATTTTTTTAGCCATTTTAAATAATGTCAGAAATAAGCTACCTAAAATCTTCAAGAGGGGGATATTTGATACTGTATAAAAATTATTTGTTTACTTTGCACAGTAAATATAAAAACGAAACTAGTTATTGGAAATGTGAACAGAAAAATTGCTCAGCGAAACTCACTACAATAAATGGCTTTTTGAAAAATGCTATAGAGACACATAACCATGCTCCAGATTTCCATAAAATTCGCAGGAAAACATTTTACAACAAATTGAAAAGCAGGTGTGAGACGGAGTTCTCTGAGGCTATTCCAAGACTATACAGGTAAGAAATTTGTTTTTAAAAATGTTATATAGTATGATTTCATTTAAATTTTTCAATCGAGAATTTAATTTCTAGATAAGTCAGTTTATATATATATTATTATTACTCACATATTAATTTCTCTACTAGAGTCTCATAATTTTGATTTAACCTATATTTGATTTAATTATAGAAACAAACTGAGGATTTGAAGAAAAAAAAATCCCTTATTTGACTAAGGCAATAAACAAGAGACAGTGTTTTTAAACTAAAGTAGCATGTTAAAAATTGTTAATTTAAGAATAAATTTTTTTTACACCAATTAAATAATAATTTTTACAAGTAAATTTAAAAATAGAATTTGTTAATTTATGAAAGTCATTTTAAAAAAAAACTCTCTGGAATTTAATTACAAATTTTCCAAAAGTTTATTCAACATAAAATTGATTTATTCAGAAAGTATTGGAATTATTCCCAGCCTTGAATAGAAATCTTTTTTTTAAAAAGTAGTAAAGCCCTGAATAATTTATGGTACTGCAATTTGCTTATTTAATTGTAACATTATTTGTTAAACTTTCTCTATTAAATATAAGGACATAATAATTTATATACCTATTATCAGTCACGGAAATTTTTTTCCATATGAAAAAATTAACCACCAAGCAAATATTAAAAGGAAAAAAGTGAAAATAAAAAACCTAAAATTGAAAATCAAAATAAAATAAATTTCTTTAATTAAAACAGTTAACGTAAGTTGTTTTATAGAACTTAATTTTATAATAATATAAAAAACTATTGAAGTGCCATATTCCAACACACTTCATATATACATTTAAATTAACAAACCATCAGATAATCACACCTGGAAATAACTCATAGATAATATGTTAGAGATATTTTAAATAGATATCTTTCATGCAGATTTTATTTTCTCCCAGCTTATCGTAAAAATATTAATCAAATATAATTTCAGAAATAAACCAAAGAATATTTAATTCTGATTTTTTTTTTTTTTTTACAAATTTCAAATTTTTAAAAATTATTATTTGCTTTTGAAAAAGCAGTTAAAAATTACATAAAATTTTAAAAAAATTGATGAAGTTTTAATATTTGGAGTTGTTATTATGAAGAAAAAAAAAATGGTTGTTTCAAAGTGCATTTTTAAATATAGGGTACTTATTTTAAAAAAAATTATTACTCTTTAATTTTGGTAACTAGCGTAAAATGTCTCAAAGTTTCATAGTACATTATTTTTACATTTTGATAGATTTAAAGCAGGGTTGGGTTTTTGACGTCAAAAAGTGGTTTTTGACATGACAGGGGTATAATACTGGTTTAAACCGTCAAAAACCCGTCAAAAATGTCAAAAACTGAAGTTGGCCAAGAAAATATATAAACTTCAAAACTACCAACAGTTGCCATGCATTATATTGAAATTTAATTATACTATAGGTAATCAGCAGGTTTTAAAATATTTTTTAATTAAAATTAAGGTAAAATAACAGATTTAAAATCTCAGAAATTTATATTCAAATGCATGTGCAGAAAAATTTTNTTTCTTCAAAATTTAAAATTTATTTTTTCTAGAACATATTTAGAAACACTATCCCTTAAAAAATATATAAATTTTATGTATTAATTAAATTTCACATATGAATATAGGTTTTTGACATTTTTGACAGTGAGGTTTTTGACGTGACGGTTTAAACCATGGTTTAAACTGTCAAAAACTGTCACATGTCAAAAACCTGTCAACCCTGATTTAAAGAAACTGTGTAGGATTGACTAGCATTTTAACTATAAAATAAAAAAATTAATTGCTGTTAATTCATCATTAGATTATATTTTTTTAAAAAAAATCAATTTTATTACATTAAAAATAAAATTAATATATATAGTCATTAAAAATACATTAATGTTGAAATAAAAAAAAGAAGAGTAAAATAGCAAAAAAAAAAAAAAAATTATGTGAAGTTTAACTAAGCAATTTAAAAAACAAAAAATCCACTTTAGCTCAGAAAATTGGAAATATAAATTCATATAATTTAGGCAATTTTATACATATTGTTTAATACTTTCGATTTCATCTTGCATTGTTCTTTTTTTCTTTGGTATTTAAGATATTATACATAATGATTAAAAATAGACTTAGTAGTAACTACAGAGAATCATGTCGAGCAGGCATAAGCAGTGCCATTTGTTATATTATGTTGGTACGAAGGTCAGTAACATATATTAACAAACAGCTAATAAGAGATTTACTATGTAAATACAGTATTTAACTTTTTGCATATTTCTATAGTCTTGGGTTCAAATGTTTTCTCTTAATTATCATTTGGTTATTTCAAAAATTCAAGTTATAATATGATATATCATTTTCAGGCAGGAAATCGGAGAGGTTGCGCAGACAGTCGAGACAGCAGTAAGACTGCCAGATTTAAAAACTGCCTGTCGCACAATGTACAGAGCAAGGACAAAGGCATTACCACCTTTGCCAAGCACTCTAAAAGATATTACAGTAAATGGTCAATGGGCGAAGACAATTGATGGAAGAGATTTTCTCTTGGTCGATGACCAGATAACCGGAGAAAGGATTTTGGTTAGTATACCTTTTTTTCCCCTTTTTATATACACTTTACACACCAGCTCACACTTTTCTGAAGAATAATTATTTCAAATGATACTAAGAACACATTAGTTGGCAAAAATATCTTTTATTTTGCCAGAACACTTTATGATATGTTTATTATGCATTTATATCCATGCTAAATTTATGTATGTGTAATTGTGGTCAAATTCTTTTAAATTAAATTTAAAAAAATGATACTTAAAAAGAAAAGCTTAAAGTTTGCTTTCACTCTGAATATAGAATTAAAAAATTGCTGAAAAGTTGGTGTACAGTCCGCAAAAAAAAAAACGAATC